CCTCCTGAACCTCTGACAAAATCAAACGATACGTTGGCAGAAGAAATTGTGGAATTTATGCGAGATGCATGGAATTTACATGTACCTAATTTAATTATATCAGTTACCGGTGGTGCAAAATATTTTATAGAAACATTAGGCTTTAGTTTATTTGATCCATAACAGTCCCCATTACAAGGAGCACAACAGCAAAAATCGACAAAAGATTTATCAAAAGATTCTGCTTCCTTTCTTTGATATCAACTATTGATTAATGTTATACGTCAACTGCCTCAAAATGAACAAACAAAGAGTGATATGATCAATTATTGTTACAGTTATTATGTGGCACAAAACGATGATAAAGAACTGATGAAAATCAAAATGTTCGAAAAAACGTATAAATCTGCAGATATAGCAATTGAATGGTATACAGATGAAGGTTTTCTATACAAACTTTTGAATAAAGCTTTAAGAACAGAAGATATTGAACTGCTCTATTTATTTCGTTTCTACATCATCGATCTATGTAACAAGCTAGAAGAAAGTAAACTACTTTCAAACACTGACGTATGGACTCTATACCGAGGACAAAACTACCGAATGAAGAATTTGATAAACTCAAAAACAGTGCTGGAGTACTGATTACAACAAATGGTTTCTTTTCGACATCGACAGATATCAATATTGCATTAAAATTTGCACGAACAAAACGTGAAACAAATGATAAAAAGACAGTACTGTTTGAAATTACAGCCGATCCTCGATTAAAAACTGTTATTTTTGCCGATATTGAAAAGTATACTCGCGAAGTAGGTGAGAAAGAAGTTTTATTTAGCCTTGCAGCAGTATTTAAGATAGACGCAGTTGACTACGGTTCAAACTTGGAAATGTGGAAAGGGAGAATGACTGCAACTGATGAAGGATCAAAAAATGTTCAACTATATTTAGAATTACAAAGAAAAGAAATGGAAGAATGTAACCCAATCGTCCTCTTTGGTGTACTTATGTGGCGTGATATGGGTCAGGGGGATAAAGCTGAAAAATGTTTCACTATGTTATTGGAAACATTTCCGAAAGATCATGAAGATATCGATAGTGTTTACAACAATTTAGGAAATATATTTGGTGAAAAAGGTGAATTAAATGTACCCCTTGAATACCATCAACGTGCATATGATATACGTCAAAGACGTTTTCCCACAAATCAACTACGTATTGCTGCTTCGCTAAATAATATCGGACTGATATATAAAGCCAAAGGCGATTCCACTCATGCCTTATAATACTGCAACCAGTCTATGGCTATCATACAGAAAATTTACCCTGGTGATCAGGTTCAAAAGGCCACGACTTTAGCGAGCATTGGACTTTTATACAAATGTAAAAAAGACTATGTTACTGCAATCGAGTATTTACGAGGACCTATGAGATGTGTAAACGATTATTACCTGAGCAACACCCTATGATTGCTCTTAGCCTTTGAAAAATTGGTGGCATCTACAAAGATCAGGGGTATTATAAACGTGCACTTGAATTCTGTCATCAACATATGAAATTGAACAAAACGTTTAGTCAAATGATCATCCAGAATTAAACGACAGTTTGTCGGCTATCGCTAACATATATCAAAAGAAAGGCGATGTTACACAATTTTTACATTTTTGTACAAAACAATTAGAAATACAGAAGACATTATTAGGAAAAAATCATTCAAGAATTGCTCACACTCTCAAATGTATGGGTATGACTCTGTCCGAAAAACATTTTAATCAAGCACTTGACTATTTCAAAAAAGCAGTAGACGTATTAAAAAAATGTACAACGGTGGACCACGCTGCGCTAATCAACTGTTTTGAGATGATTGGCGAGACATATTACCGCCAAGGAATGCATAACGACAGTCTAATTCACTACAAACAATCTCTTGAACTGAAGCAAAAATTATGTACTTCTGATCATCCTGAAATAGCACAGTTATCACAACTCATTGGGTGAGTGTACTTAGATACCGAGAATTATACCGAATCATTGGCATATTTTAAACGAGCACTAAAAATTTATGAATCAAATTATGAATCCGATTCATATGAAGAAGTCGAAGAAACCAAAAGATATATTAAAGAAATAAACACAGCAATGAGAAAGGAAAATATGGCGACGTGGCCAAACGTGACGGAATTTCATTTGTTTGGCTTCTCTGATTTATAGCTCGCCAGTGGCAAAGGCAAACATTCTGAAATTTTTATCACAGTCACAGAACCATAAGTTCTATTATAAAAAGAAATTTAATTCGCTTATATTATATACGTTAAATTACAGAACTGAATTTTGTATCTAACTATGAGACAAAAATGTATTAAGTGACAAAAAACGGTAATTTTTATTTGTCTCAAGTACATGAAAACAGAGAAGCAAATTTTCTTTTGTGTTTGTTGCTTATGGCAAAAAAAGCAAACGATAATATATTCATACCAAGAAAATAAAAATGTGGCTCTCAATTTTTTGTTAGCCTTTGAGAATTTCAAACTAAAACAAACAATATACAGTTGTCTTTCTTTTTCTCTCTTTAATATATTCTCTACGTACTACAAAATAGTTTTAAGATGGAATCGATTTCTTTCTTCTCTTTCTCTTTTTTAATTCTGTTTAAAAATCAGAAATTTTTTTTATTTATTATTCTTTATTTGTTTATTTGTCTACAGCCGTTTTCTTTTGCTGTTTTTAATTACTCGAGAAAAGAACACAAAAAAGAGCAGTTAATTACGTTTTCTAACGAAACTATAACCATTAATTTTGTTACATCATGAGCATCCCTTACGACACTAATCTTCGGTAAAGTTCTGATAGAATGACTTTTTTAGGAATTTCTTGAACTAATTCGTACAGTAGCCTTAGTCTCTACTACTAATTCGACAAGCTCCGCGAAATTTTTCTAAATCTGTGGAATCGACTCTTGCTTTGACGTATAACTTCGGCAGTAGTAAGTGAAGTGCCATCACACTACACCTACTTTTCAATTAATTTCTATTAATTTTCCTTAATTACTGCTAATTACTGTAGTTTAGTTCTTTTTAAGCGTATAGGACTTACTATTCCTGACCAGGAGTCGTGACGCTATCTTATCAGCAGAAGTACCAATAAAAATTACTCATCATTGACGAGGAATAAGATAAAAACGCATGGGACAGAAAAACACAGTTGTTGCAAAATCAGATGACGAAATAATTAATGTCAATGTTGATAAGGTAAAAATACAGTGTGTTAACCATCATCACCTTTCAAAGCCTTTCTGTTTATAGTGGGCTAGCAAGTATAATCCAGGGTAAGTTGAACAGGAACTATCAAGTATATCCTGTTTCAAATAATATGAAACCTAATGTGTATTTCTTTAGTATTAATGATTTTGGACAAATTCATTTTGCTGACAACGACCGACAATCATGGGTAAAGTTTACGTGTGTGCAAATGCAGTTATGCACCAAATAGCACCTCCTTAACTGATCAACGGTCAGTCATATTCTCCGGGTATCGACTAAAATCGATTTCTCAACTAGGCCTCTTTAACCCAGAATGAGACAAGCTTGGAGATAGTTTCACCTGGGGGCGCTCGAAGGAAACGTTTTCGAGAGATATAGTTGAAAATCCGCTATCTATTAGAATCCTTCCCAAAAGAAGCCGGTTCTGTCATTCAGTTTTGTCTCAGCGCCCGTATTTTCGAAGCACCAGTATATTCTCTGTCTTCCACTGACACTAATGTATATCTTTGTGTGTATATGTTCTCGTTCGAAAGAAACGATCAGCACTCTACTTCTTTCCTTTTGCTGTATTTTTTACACAGTACATTCGTATCCCGCTTATTCAACCGGAATCTTCACAAACATCGACGAATAGAACAACTGTACCACTTCCACCACTTAGTCCGCCGAAATCGCAAAACCCTAAACTTGATCCTCTAAAACCAATTGCTAAAACATCTGTAGAGCTTCCGATTGATCCGGCCAAAGTTCGAATATTAACACTGAATGAAATTGTGCAAAAGCAATCGCTTGATCCTCCTGAACCTCTGACAAAATCAAACGATACGTTGGCAGAAGAAATTGTGGAATTTATGCGAGATGCATGGAATTTACATGTACCTAATTTAATTATATCAGTTACCGGTGGTGCAAAATATTTTAAATTTATAAATCCTAGAACCCGTGATGATTTTCAAAATGGATTATTTGCTGCTGCTGTGACAACAGGTAAGTAAGAGAAGTTTTATTTGTCGGTATGGAGCTTTTTGATTTTGAGCCTCCATGTGTGTATTAAGATGCGTGGATATTTACGGGCGGTACAAATGCTGGTATAATGAAAGAAGTTGGTGATGCCATAAACAGGTGTCGTTATAGAAATACAAAAACTCCAGCAAAGATACCAGTGATAGGAATTTGTGGGTGGAAATATATAACAGGTAATTATCGTTATTATTTTAATCAGCCTAATTTATTTACTAGCGGTGTCTTTCAGATGCCGAACAGTTAGAACAAAATAGAGTATACGTTCCAAACAAAGAACAGCAACAAAGCACTAAAATTGACATGGATCAGACAAATAAGGGAGTGAGACATATTGTTTTACAAAGAAAAAGAAAAAATTGTCTCCGAATACGTGCTAATTTACTTA